CGCCTCTTCCCCGCCCCGCCGCCTCCCGCCCTCCGCGCTCCCCTCAGGCCCGCCTCACCTTGGTCCGGATCTGCCCCGAGGTGGACACTTTGCGGATCAGTTTCTGGGGTCCCTCTTGCTCCGCTTCGCTGTCGGACGAATCCTCTCCGGGCCCCGCCGAGGCAGCGGCGGAGGTGACTGCGGCTCCGGCCCCGGCGGCCGCTCCGCCCGCGGCGCCCGGAGGGTGGTGCTGGCCGCCGGCCCCGGCCATCCTCTCCGCGTCCTGCGGGGACACAGCACCGCCCGGCGGGGGCGGCGGCGGCGGTCAGGGGGTGGGCTCTGCCTGAGCCGGGCCCGGAGCCCCGCGCCCAGCTGCCGCCGCCATCTTCCGCTCCCCCAGCCGCCCCCGCGGGGAAGGGTCGCGGGGATCAGTCGCCCTCCCGACAGGGCCCCCCGGGCTCCTCCGCTCGGCTCTGGCCAGAGCGGCGAGCGCGGTGGGGCACAGGGGATGCAGACCCCGGCCCCGCCTGGGACCCCTGCGCACCCAGGATCGGGATGTTATAGGGTTTCTGACCCAGAATACGACCAGTGCGGGTAGAGAGGATGAGCGTGACAGAGGGCTCGGAACAACCTCCCCCTTCCCCTAGGGTCTGGGGTCTCCGGGCTGGACGGGAGGTCGGGGAAGACGAGAAATCTCCGCAGCCAACCCCCGCAGGCCCGGCAGCGGCGATGCTCCTTCCCTCGGTGCAGGGGCAACAGGGACAAAACGGCCCCTAGAGCAGAAAGGGAACCCAGAGCTTCCTCCCGACTCCCTTGGGTGCACCCCGCCACCTCCTGGACCCAGAATCTCTCCAGAGAGACTTGGGCCTCGCCGCACGTTCCCGCTGAATAAAAGTCCCCTCCGCCCCTGGGATGTACGGGCACCGCCCCCTGTCTGTCTCACGACCCCCTAGCCTTCTCCGATGAACCATACCTCTCCCGCCTCTGCCCTGGGGTTCGGATCCTTTCAGCTCTCTCGACCGTGGTGTTCAGTTTCTGGCCCACCCCCACCCCCATCCGGCGCACACGGAAGAGGAGAGCATTTTCCGGGAGGTTCCACTCCGCTCTGAGAACTTTTCGCTCAGAAAGAGCGATCCCTATGGCTAACAGGAAACTGGGAAGGGCGTGGAGAGAGGGCAGAAACAAGAGTATACACGCAGCCCAACACGACAGAATGCAAAATAAACGTCTAAGCTGAAGCGCTAACCGAGACTGCCTGGAAGAAAACAATGCACTAGAGCCTTGTGAACACCAGTGCCAGAGCACGAAAACATTGGAAGTCCTGGGAGAGCCACTCCCTAACCGGACTAGAGCAGGAGGAAATGGGATCAACAGGCTGCAGGCACCGCTCACAACTCGTCCCATGCGAGCCGGTTAAGCGGACACTTGGGAATAGCAGCCTTGCGGCGGGTCGTGCACGCTCCTCGTCAAAGAACCCTTGCAGATGTGGGAGTGCTTGGGGGAGAAGATACTAAAATGACTGATTCCTCTTGTCATCCACAGAGAACTCCAAACTGGTATTAGCTATATTTTTAAGTAGGGCAAACACTCCCTGCCAGACTGTGGAGTCTCTTCACACTTCAGTAAAGCATTCAATCTCTTTAGCATGTTCATGACCTTCAATTCCCATTCCTATTTTTTCAGTTGACATGACCTTCTATTTTTTCAGTTGACATGACCTTTAAGGGTTCTCCAAACTAAGATCCTATTGGGTTTTTTCTGGTTGCAGTCTTACTCTCAATAATTTGCTGTATCAGAACTAACAGTTCTAAGAGATCTGAAGAAACAATATGCAATCCCAATACTGTATATCCACATTGTAGATTAAATTCATTAAAATGTCAAATGTGCTAGTTGGCTTGAATCTTCAAAGACAGGAGATTGCTGCCATGTAATACTAATTGATAGAGGCTACTTCTCCAGTTGTATTCTTTAGGAAGGGAAGGAGTTGGGCAAAATAAACTCTAAGAGCCCTATGGCTCTGTAAATATGTAATTCTGTATCGACAAAGACCATATTGCTATGAAGGGAATTCTTTAAGACAAAAAATAATCAAAGTAATGGCCTTTATCCCAACCTATTTGGTCACTGACCAGTCCAGTGGTTGGCAGTGTAAACCAGAACACCTTATAATAAAAGGCCTTTGGAAAGAATAAACCTAGTTCAGACCTCTCTTTTAATGTAAAGAAACTGAGGCTCAAAATAACAAGTTGGGACCAAAGTCAAAATCATGTGATTACTATTCTAATGTTCTATTCACTTTACCTCACTATATAACAAAAGTTAGTCAATTATCATGTTTCTATTCACACTTTAGGCTTTCAAGTTTTATATACCTGCAGTAACATTTTCCAGAATCCATGCAGAGAGGGATAAAACCGAAAGGCATTGTTTAATGCCCATGCCTGTTCTGTGAGCTTAAGAAGAGGACTGAATACATTTCTCACTCTGATTCAAACACTGATTGCTTAAAGATACTTTAACAGAGTTTTCACGTGCAAGAGCTGGGCAATGAATACCTCAAAGTAAAGGTATTCATTGCTTCATAAAAATTTAACCTCACAGTTATCCCTGCTCTCCAAAGACTCCTGTAACAAGTTCTAAAACTTGGTTGTGACTTTGAAAGCACAGCCAGTCTTAGCCTGCTCATGCTAAATAAATGATCCCTCCTCTACAATTTCCCTAGCACAGAGAACACTCAGAGTGAAAATACCCTGTAGGCAAATGAAGGAATGTCACTTCATTTCCCACAAAAGGAAGCTCATGAAATACCCTCTTTTCTTCACTCATCTCTTCTAAGGAGACTGTTCAAGTAATCCCTAATTTAAGGTACCTGACCCACTAGCTCCTTCTCAGGTCTTATTTGTAAATTATAAGTTTCCAGAATGAACATCCAATCTGTATATTGTATACTCGCAATGCATTTCACTTCCCTTAAAAATATAATAGCAATGTCAAGAACTCAATATTTTCAACCATTTTAATGTAGCTCAAAAGGATAACTGAAACAAATTTCAAATTATGTGGTATATTGCATTCTTTGATTTATAAGACTTCCTTGACTTTTCCCTTACTTGGTGTTTTCAGATTTTCAAGTAATTTCTTAGATGTGTCTGACATATTTTTCTTCTTATTATTACTTTGAAATCTTCGTTTGGAACATGTATCACAAACACACTATTAAAAACTTGGACATAAGCCATGTAAACACTGCATTCAGGATGAAATGGAAATAGGAGAAACTACCACTAAATTAGGTTTCTGCTTAATAGGGCTTCCAGCCCCATTTTTTTTTTTTAAAAAACCTATTATACTGAAGATATGTAAGTCACAGCTAATTCTCTGATACCAACTTTATGCATATTAGCATATTATTATCTATAGAGATATTTTGAATTATATTCTTATTATTGATCACTACTAATAACAAAAAAGGTTTAATATCCATTTACAACTTCTACGGTTTTACGTTAAATATCATATCATAAACATGTATAAGTCTACATTTATATCCTGAAGAACCCAAGTAGGCACTTTAAAAACACTCATGTTGGGAGGGCTTGCGTAGTGTCGTAGTGGTTAAGTTCGCACACTCTGCTTCAGTGGCCTGGGGTTCACAGTTTCCAATCCCGGGCACAGACCTATGTACTGCTCATCAAGCCATGCTCTGGCAGCATCCCACATACAAAATAGAGGAAGAAGGGCACAGATGTTAGCTCAGGGACAATCCTCCTCAGCAAAAAGAGGAAGATTAGCAACGGATGTTAACTCTGGGCCAATATTCCTCACCAAAAAAAAAAAGTCAAAATAATGATAATCAAGAAAAACCACAGTCATGTTGAAGCACTCACATTCAGAACCAGTGGGAACCATGCAAAGAGCAGTGCAGGCTGAACAAACAATAGGCCTGCTTTCATTCAAACTTTAGAACTACTTCCATAATACACTGTTACATATTTAGAATTTAACATTCAAAACTTTATTAAAATTTCCTTAGTTGTTACCTGAACAAAAAAAGACTGAGCTTGTGATATCAACTGTATGTACATATGGTCATTCCTGTACCTAAGGCAAACACCTTCCATCATCTAGACCCAATGCATAAATATACTTACAACTTCTCATTTATATTTTGGCTCTTTTTCCTTTGAAACTCTTCCCTTCCTAATTTTCCATTAGTTCTGAATAGTTTCATCAGAGCCAGCTAGATAAAAATCATTTGAAAATAAAAACAAATTTTAGTAAGCAAAATGTACTCTAGTATTCCCCCACTGTCTAAGAACTACTTTGTAAACACTCCCATACTTTCTAAGTTTGGGCTAGAATTCTAACTACCCATTTTCCCCCTAGGATATTATCCGGGTTTTTTGGCTAAATATCTTCCTACCCACCTATTCCCACCACCAAAATATTTTTTAATTGATTAGAAATTTAGGTAATGGCTCTGTTTCCACTGATTTGATTACATTCCAAAGCTAGCATTAAAGAAAACATACAGAAATCTGAATGCTAACATTTATCTTCTTTTAGGCCCATTGCCCTAGCTGGAGTAATGATAAGGCTAATAGTTTATTTAAATGCCCTCACTTAACTAAATAACTTCATTTCATCTCCAAATACAAAGAATGTCATGAAGTCCAGCAGCTGCCCCTCAGCTCCAGACACGGATACATTTCAAGCCAGAAGTGGTATTCTCTTTACTATTACCCAGCATCGATTCCTGTGATTATGTTTACTCTTCTGTCTGAATAGCTCCATGTAGAATCATATCACCATGTTTTAGGTTTCACCAGAAAAGAACGAGGAGGGTAAATCCTTACATGCATGTTGTTATACACAATAAGGGATAATGCAACAGGATCTGTGTAATATGAATATTGCCTGTTCAATATTAAACATTCCTTTTCATAAATGTAAATGTGTATACTTGTACGCTAATGTATTAAAGTTGCCTATATTTAAATTCAAAAAGCAGATTTTAAATAACTGCAAAATGGAGTCCAAATCAAAGCAGATGTTCTTAAGCCAAGGTCTTTGAGGGTCCACAGTTTGGGCTCCAGGAACTCTGTGATTCCCTTGAAATTTTATTAAAAATTTTATCTGTATGTTGCATAAGTACATTTTGGGAAGAAAGAGAGTCTATAGCTCTGATTAGATTCTTAAAGGGATCACAGACTCAAGAAAAGTTCAAGAATCCCTGATTTTGATGAATTTTGTGTCTATTCAAAACATTTAGATTCAACTGATACTTCTCCCCTTAGCTCCAAATGTCTGAAATAAAACATTTAAATACTGCTTTTCCCCTAATTTATCCCTCCTCTTTTCTTGTGTACACCACTTTTCAATAATTGGGATAACATCTTTTTTAAGAACCTAAACGAGAATTCCCTTTATTAGCTCTTTGTGGACATACATGTATGGCCACAGGGTTTCAAATAAAATCACTTTGTCAGAAGTATCATTTTATGCCACATACCTGAGATCTCTGAAGATGCTTTTTGGACTATCTGAATGTAAACCATTAACATATATGAAACAAGATATTCTGTTTAATTAAGAATGTACACTCTGTGAGGATTTAAGGATTTGTATCTGTGTTGTTAACTGCTATATCCAACAGCCCTGGGACACAGTAGGTGCTGGAAAAAATATCTCTTGAATAAGTTAAAAAGCCTTTGGTGTTTAAAGAAAATAAATCTCATTTTTTGAGGAGAGTTCTACAGTCTGGCTAAAGTGTCACATTTCATTCACACATTTCTGTCAAGGCTCTAGTTTTAAAAGCTAATAAATGAGCATTTCCATTTTTGTCACTTTGGAAGGTAAAGCACAAAAAAAAGTCTCTATTTTTCTAGGCACAGTAGTTCTGGCCTCAGCACCCTAAAGTAAAATACATATAACCGGGTATTTTTCATTGTCATTGGTGTTGGCTTAAAGTATCCAGGTTCAAAAGGGACTTCATATAGGAAAGTTTAAAAGTAAAAGATTAACAAAACCAGGTCACTGAATTTAATTCTCAATGATCTTTGATTTAAACTTCAAAACTGAATTGTACTTTTAATTTCAAAAATTATTTAATCCCCAGTGATAACCACAATAGAAGAAATATGAGCAGATGCCATTACCTAACAACATGTTCAAATTTACAAAAGCAAAGACAGCTGCAGATACAGATGGATCAGAGTCGAAGGACACTTCTGAAAGGTCGGGAACCAGGAGGCAGAGAAATATACTCTGGGCGAAGGAGCTAGGAGTGTACATATTAGAAAAGAAAAAGAACCAAGCCTGGCACCTGACCTAGAAGCTCTCAACAGGCAGGGGGCCAGCCTGAGCAGACAGGGGGAGTCCCTGGGAAAACAGCATCCGAACTCGTTGAACAGAACACGGATGAGGCCAGGAATTTCGGACGAGGCTTTTCAGATAGGTTCAAGAATTTCAACCAAGACGGAGTAGCAAACATCGAGGCAGGGCTTGGAGAGCCAAAATTCGATGCCAGGGAAAAGGCAGCCCACACAGAATTACAGAGCTCTGAGTGAGACGGGGATTCCGGGGTAGAATCCCTAGAGGCATGTGAGATGGTTCTGACTGTTTGAGTTGCAAGAAAGAAGGAAGTTGGAGGAGTTTCAGGGAACAAATCCCAAGCCCCCCGGCCTCCTCATCCCTATCCTCGTACACACAATACACACGCACACGCTACTCTCGGTCCCCTCAAGTTACCCAACCTCCGCGTTGCATGTGCAGCGAACCGAGGTTAGCTTCCCGCTTCATCCCTGGCAAAACCCTTGAACCACGGAAAAGCCCGGGGCTAGCGGCGAACAGGAGTCGGAGGCGTGGTTCCGGGCTTCAAGCCGCGATCAGCCTCCCCAGGCGGCGGTCCTCAGGAACCTGCGCACCCAGGTGACGGCCAGGGCGCGGTCTCAGGAAGGAAGACCGGTCTCCTCTGAGCTCTACACGCTGACCCCACAGTCTGGGTTTCTCCTGTACCCCTCTCTACCCCCCGCGCTCTAAAATCAAGTAAAAAGTTGCGAAGTCGCTGAAGCACGGAAACGGTCCTCGGAGGGCCGTCGTCAGCGGTTCGCCAGCGGCCCCTCGGGGAGAGCCTCGGCTGGCCGGACAAAAGCGCTCCCGGAGGCGCGCGAGGAGGAGCCCGGGCGGCGGAGGAAGCGCTGCCCCGGCTGGGAAGCAGCTGCGGACCTCATCCCGGGCCATTTCCTGAACGGAACCCGGTCCGGGCGGGGGGAGCAGAGGAGAAGTGGGAGGGGGTGGGCGCGGGCGCTGTACCCACCGGTTCCTCCCAGGTCGGGCTGCGGACGCCGGGCGCGGGGCGCACGTGCTGCGGCTCCATCGCGCCGGCCC